TTTTTGATACAAAAGGCCTAAAGAGAATCAAGATAAGAACTTATATAATAAAAGACCTGATCCAAAACAAACAAAAAACATGTATTAAAAACTTAATACAAAAGAAAAAACAAGAAAAGTAATCAACAAGATACTAAATAAGCCCAGAGAGAGATTCCAACAACATATTTAGAACTTTAGATATAAATACAAAACAAGTGAGAAAAGAATAGAAAAATCTTAAAAAAAAAGATAAAAAAAAACAAAAAAAGAAAAAAGATAGAAGAACTTATACAGACAAAAAAATAGTTAGAACCCAAAAACCAAGAAGAAAGAAAACCATAAAACAGTTGTTTTCAGAAATATCAAGAATTTGATTTGATATGAACAAAACCAGTATACTGTAATTATTGCTAGCTAAATATAAAATAAGTCCTAATATAGAATACAGTATAAAGCAATGCTGACAAGGTGTGTAGCCACCAGCTAATGACTGAAGGAAAATAAGTCCTTAGCAAGTTAAAGACCAGGAGGGAGGCCAATGGCTACTGAGGCAGGTCACACCTGAGCAAAAGCTTGGTAAGTTATCTGTTTAGTTAGATTAGAATAGCTATAGATAGAAATTTCTGTAATTTTTGAATAGTTATAATCTCAAATAAACAGAGGCAGGATTGCCGAATTACTTAAAAAAAAAAAATAATCATTATATGAGAGCTGCCAAAATACCGGCAGCACTCATATAAACACTACCACCTTAGTTAAATCAAATTTTTGCAAATACTTTTTAAAACGTTCGGTTTAAACAATTTACTATGTCTCTATTCCGAATTACAGTATTAATAAAATTTATAAAATGTTCTAAGCTTTGTATTCAGTTTTCACAGTATTTATTAAGCGTTAGTTCGATTTAGAGAGAGCTGACCATACATTCTAAAAAATTTTTTTACAAGTATTAACAAAATAAAATATGGTAGTTCAAATCTAAAGTATATAATAATTATATGTATATAGATATAAGTTTTTTTTGCACTTTTAACGGATTATTACTACGTAATAAGCGTTTAAAAGACGTTGTTCGTATCAAGAAAATAATGCATCTACACATTGAAATAAAATTTTTCTTTAAGGTTCATGCCTCAACAAAAAAACATATTGCTAAGCCACAATGCATTATTTTCGACCAAATTACCAAATTTTGTGTAGCTTAATAATAACCCCATAATTTTAAAATAGAGGACCAATCAAAACAATTTCCGTAACATAAAATTGTTGCCTTCTTTTTTTTTTTTTCTTCTTAGTAATATAAATAATTTACGTTCTTCAATAATCTAAAACTAATTTCACCTTTCTTTTTTAATCAAAATTACCACCATAACGGCTAACATTCTGGCGAAGATGGCTACGGACGATGGTTGTAAAAGTCTTTATGTTGGTAATCTCGATCCCAGGGTAACGGACAGCATGCTTCATGAGATCTTTGGAGTAGCAGGATCCGTGAACAATACGAAAATCATTCCTGATAAAAATGTGAGTTGACCTTAAGATCAGGACAAGCCAATAACGATTGTGAGGGTTTAGGGGTTAGGTTGAAGCTTGGACTTGTCACCTTCAGTGGTGTGATGATTTGCAGTATTACTTTTTTCTTGAAACGAGGCACTGTTTGACGAGGTCTAATGTGGAGTCACCCCGCAATGGCTGGCCTTGCTGGACACTCGAGTTGCGTTCCATACATATATGACGCAGCTCAAAGGTTGGAATCCTTTATCTTCCCTCAATATTTTATA